TGCCGTGAAATGGCTCAAATCGGCGAAGTTGTCGAAAAGAGCCACTTCGGATGAAAATTATAAGATTCATTATCCGCCCCAATGCACAAATTCCGCTGCGGAGAAAAGCGATCGATACCTACGTATGCGTCCTCACCGATCAATACCCCCCATGCACATCCTTGACTACCCACATCCACATCCTTAACCATCACTCTCCTCATAAATCAACAGTCTGCATATTTCCGGATTTGTATTCTGCTATTACGCACTTCTGCACCGCTCAAGAACGGGTCGTGTACGACTCAAGCGATTGGATCGCCTGAGTCAGGCGATTCGGTCGTTCGACTCAAGCGACGCAATCGCTCCATCGCGAAGTCTGAACGCGGTCTAAGGATGGAACGCAACTGCCCGGTAAGCAGAAGATGCGGGTTCGAATCCCGTCCGTGGTCCGACTTTTGCCCATGAACTCAGCATTCTTGTGATAACTAACATATTATGTTTTGTCCAAGAGGACTGTTTTGGACTGGTTCGTGTTTCGCAGGTTGTTAAGGGCCCTTATAATGAGTATATGACGTCCACTTTTGGCAGCGGCTCCTATTTCGCGGTTTAGGGACTTCTATAGCTGAGTTTGGCGCCGTACGCCTTTCACAGTCTAACGTGTGTACATAAGCCGCTTTTTGGGTGCGGCGTCAGCCGTTCAACTTATCCTCAATCTTTGGCGGCCGATGGGTGCCTCTTGACGCCGTAAAAACTGAGATACTGAGATTTTTGCGTACAGATTGCCGTTTAAGTGGCGGCCAGAGCGAGCGAATAAGTTCACACTTTGGAGTTGCAATACATAGTCAAATAGTGGCCAAAGGACTCACAGTTTGAACTCACCCCTATCTTTTCGCTCTTCAGAAAACACCAGTGCGCAACTTGTTCCGGGGACTTTTTATAGCGAGAAGAGAGGGGACGTGCACTGCATACAGGAAGGACATACTCATAACCATGGGGTTTGTTCATTGTTTCACACCTCTCACTTATTTCAATCATATAATCCTTTCAGATGAAGCTTTCACCTTACTGTGAGCTCTACGTCAATCTTCTTTTGAAAGATGCAGAGTACGCAGCCAATCATGGGATCGAAGCTGTTGTTGAACAACGAACTAAAGCAGATTTGGCCTGCTTAGTCGCAAGGTATGACTATTTTTTTCCAGAGCTTCCAGCAGTTCTGCACAAGTTATAAAAGCAACCTAAGGACGCGTTCATAGTTCGCGATTCGGGCGAGTCATCGCGCGTCACCGCCCGCGCTCCACTGGTAATCATTGGACCAGTTTAACGTCTTTAACACGTTTTTGGGGAAACCGGGCCCGGGGCCCGCTGAATTGTCGGGCAATAGCCACGCGCATACACTCTCATCATTACGGACTTTCGGGCGGTCAGTGGCGGGCTGCGTTTTCCGCGGTCCAAAGTCTTCCTGCACCAGGGTTGGGTGGGAGGGAGTGAGCAAATGACATGACAGCATTATATCCTTCGTATTACTCGTTTTCTACCACTTTTTGTCGCATACGCGTTTCAACGAAAAGGCTGAGAACGGCTTCAAACAGTGTGCGCACTCCTACTGGCTGATACGCACCGACAGTCCGTAATGAAAAGGAGAGTACTCCCGTACTCGCGTTCATTGCTGATTGCCACATTCAACGTTTTGTGGATCGCTTTTTTCGTGGATAAGAGTGCGACTTGAACCATTCTCAATGTGTATATGTTCAGTGAACTTTGCTTATGCTTAGATTCATGATGGCGTGAAATAAGCTGCCTATTTTAGTAATTCATTAACATTAGTACAAAGTACAAAAATTACAGTCAGTGGCGCGATAGTTGCACTTCTTATGATAGCTCCGCACCACAATGTGCGTGTAAAGGGGCATGCGGCACAAAGACTCCCGTTTCGCGCGTTTGTATTGCACGCAATTCACGCGCGCGGAGACGCAGGAAGTAAAAACGGGAGTCGCCGTAAAAACGCCGCGGCGTTCAATGTGTTAAATTGTGAAAAGTCGTGAAGGTATGAACACAGCTTGATGAACGTGGATTTGTACAACATGTATGCAAAAATCCCTGTATTTGCCATGGTAAACTTTTATGGGAGCTACGACGCGCTGCTTCAAAAGGTTAAACAGTGCGTGGTATCAGCTACAAACTACTGTTCCATGGGCTGTGTGTGATGGGCGCACCTCTAGAAACACAAATAAGACGTAAGTCCATCGAGTTGTATCAGCATTTAGCTTTCGAAATACTACTCCTTAACTCTATCTCCTCCAAAACTTTTGAAGTTTACCTTTACAGAGATGTTGCAATGAAGAAACCCTCATCAAGCGCATGCGAAAGTGAATGCCACGTCGAAATTCCTTGCGCTGCAGATAAAAAGAGAAACAAGAAGAAAAAGAAAACCCAAGAAACACGGCCTATAAGGTTTTCGTTATTCCTTTTGTCAACAGAAACAGTTAAATTTGTAGCGTATATGGTAGACGTCCTATGTTTAGTAATGTGGCTGAAAATGAGACACTGAAGACCGCAAAGGACGATGAACGAAACAGTGCCGCTCCGCATGAGTCTGATCAACTTCCTGCAAGGTTTTTTCTTCGTTTTGCTCCCTAGGAATGCAAATGGGGTCGGGTCTTGATCTTGTTCGGTCTGCTACTCAAAGGAGAGGGAGCTGATCTGCTTGATTAGATGGTGCCTGGTGGGACAGCAGCTTGAAATTTATGTTGATGACATTTGTGAAGCATTATCACTTGTGTGACCGTGCGCTGAGGATACTCACTACAATCTCCAGTTAGACCTTTGGAATAAACAAAATAGCTTAAAGAAGGCATTAACGAACTTTCGCTACAACCGAAACCGAAACGCGAGCGCTTCCACTGAAGGGATTCAATAGAGTGGAGTTACTAGACTTATCTGGAATGAATAAAAATAAGGCTGCCCCAATCAGTACCGGGGGTTTTCGTATCGATTTTTTTCTCATCATGGAATTTTGTCGATTTAATGGAATGTTGTCAATTTCATAGTCGTATTTCCTTTTCGAACCGCCAGACTAGCCACACTGACTCTCCCGAAGGCTGACCTTGTCAGGGGGGGGGACTAGCATATCGATGAAGGAGGGACACGCGAACGATGAGACTCGTTTTCGATTTTTTTGAAGAAGGTGTGAGCGCATTTTAGAAGTGTAGAAAACATAAATAATATACGATGTGCCTCCGTCCTAAATGAAGTGAATGAAGTCGTTTTCTCTCAAATGAAGTGAATGAGGTCGTTTTCGTGCGCTCTTGTACGCTACAGTCCTTCCGCTGTCCTCATGTAGTCTTGCTAGCCGTTGCATTTTTCAGTCACTCGTTCTTGACTATCTGGGTGCCTTTTAATTTACAATATATTCTTCAGAGTCAAGGGATCAGGAGTTGTTTCAGCCAGAAACCACTCAGCGACTTCTCATACGACCGGTAAGCTGCTAAGCCTCGAGTTTCACCTATTCTGTGCAGTTAACCATGCATTTACTGTTGAAATCGTACGCCGACGCCCTCCTCTTTTTGCAATACCTCTGTTTTTTTTGCTTCAGAACTAGTGGGCACGTTGATCATTTCACTAGTTCTCGTGGGCCCCTCATCTTTCCTCCACTGTGGTCTTCCATTTTTCAGATAACGCACCATGGAGAACGCTGGAGAATGCGCAGATCTCGGCAGCTGTCTGTCTTACCACTGCGCATTGCTAAGTTCTGCTTGCACCGTTTCCACCTTCACCTCACCGTTGAAACTCGTTGCTAGAGTTACTTAGTCAGCTGAATTCGACTGAAGTAGCGTTCATTGCAACCAAGTCCTTGCGACTCAGGCTCTAATTCCGCTCACAGAGTGTCTTAGTAGACCTGCACATTTCGTGAAATCGTAAATTTGGATACATTTTGACAGAAGCTTGGTTAGCTTTTACGATCGCATGGCGTCAATCGTCGTCTCCTAGTCGGTATCCTGCAGCGAATTGCTTTTCCCCTCCCTTTGCACCAGGATTCTTCCTCTACAACAGGATAGCCTCACTAGTTTTCCCAGAACGGTTACATTGCTTCTTCCTGAGAACTGAAGTTAAAAGAAGTTTGGCGACGGCGGTGGGGCATTTTTCTTCTCATCGATGTGTCGACCCATCTAGACAGCCTTTTCTTGAGTTGACACGTTTTACCATGGTGGCTAGACGAGCTTGCTCCAGCTTCACAAGAGTTCACAAGTTTCACCAGAGTGAGACTTGTAAACCGGAAGTAGTGAAGCAGTGAAAGTGCAAAATGCCCCCCCCCCCCCGTCGCCAAACTGCGCCAACTTTGGCGTCGCTTTGATAGAGACTATATGGATAATTCATTTTCAGATAGTAAGTCCAAATCAGAGAAGTCCAAAGCAGATCTCTCTGGAGCGGCCGATGAGCTACGCAATGTTTCGTTTTGTAGACATCGACAAGCGGTGAGCATCCCTAATCCTCTTACTTTATCCCTCAATAGTCGACAGAATTTATTCTTAGCTGAACATAGATGTCGGTTTGACAGCATACTCTAGTCTCAAAGCTACAAAACAGACCGGGCCACTTTCTCATTCTTGATGTCTTCATTTCAGAAGCCTTTTCCATGGCATCAATTGCCACAAAAGTTGAAGGTGAGAATCCTTCAAAATCTTCGCCGGAGGGATCTCGATGAATGTGTGTTAGTGGATAGGGAGATGTTCAAGCTTATTCGGCATCGGATCAGAAGGAGATCCATTGAGCATTTGAATATAAACATGGTTAGTTACATCTGCTTTCAAAATTCCACAAGAAACCAGAACAGGTTTTTGGAGGAACATTCAAAGTGATTTTGTGGTTCAGGTTGAAGGAGCATTTCAGTTGGATGCACTGTATACTGAAGAAGGGACAGCTCAGAAGCTGGTAAGTCGAGCTTACAAGGTCGCTCAGCAGATAAGTCAGTGATCATATCCTCATCTTTTGAACAGGTAAAGGAACTCAGGACCTTGAATATGGTTTCAAGCTGCCTCTCGACTTTGCTCAAAAACGCTGACATTCATCGTTTGGAGTTCGCTGCCGTAAGTAGAAAATAATTTGGTAGCAGCAGAACGCAGGAGCCTTTCGAAGAATGCCTTCCTTGCTTTCAATGCCTTATTCTCGAATGAAACCCGAGTTTAGGTGCCTCTATCAGACGATATTCTGTCGGCAATCTTGGCATGTCTGTTGCATACGGGATGTCGAGTATACAAACTGTGGATGATAGAAACGTCGATGGCTACCGTGTCGTCTTCTATACTTCTTCGATTCCTTCGCGAAGCCGCTTGTACCGGAATCTGGTTAAGTTGTATCAGAGATTGCACTCCACATAGCTTCAGCCCGGAAGTTCTCCAATTCATTGTAACGAGACAACTCCTTGTTGTGAATCGTTTTCATGATAGCTTTATCCCGATATACGATGATATGCTTGCTAAGCTCACTGCTACTCATTTCCTTATCGGTGCTCCGAACATGATCACCATGAATGGTCTGAAGTCATTCGTCGAGGTGAGTTCAACGCAATTCTTTTTTTTTCGAGAATAATAAGTTCACTTGCATTTCAGCGCCTGGTAAGCGGGAAGCAAAAAGTTATCCGTGGAAAAATCTTTACCAACTTCCTCCTTAAAGGAGTATCGTTTCCGAAAGTTTCGAATAGCAACTTGGAAGTAATGGTGGAAGAAAATTACATTGAGTTTCTTAACAAAGAAGA